CCCCAAAACCCCAAAACCCCAAAACCCCAAAACCCCTAAATGCTAAAATAATGATAATTTTTATGATCAATAATTATTATAAATTAACAAAAAGTAAATAAGCATAAACTACTAAGACAAGATCTCAAACTATAATTTTCTGGTCAGTCAATCACATTATCCGTATTTTTCTAAACAAAGCAAATCGAATTCTCTTCTTAGATCTATTATACATTTCTCAAGGGATATTTTGCAGTCTCTCCTTTGCAATTAAATGACACTCTATTTCTCATTTAAGTCATCTTCATGACCATTTCTATTTTTTAGCTGATCAAATAGGCTTTTCATCTTGTTTAGTATATTATCATAGCTCTCAATGTCGATGTTTCCATTATCATTTTTAGGAGTTAAGTCCTAGGTTTCATTGATACTTGCAAGATGCTTGATGTCACTCATATTATTGATTGTGAAAGATGTTGGGGACTTTGGAACATTAGCAAGTTACTGCTACTATGAATCACTAATTGATATTCTACTCATATCTCTTCTCCAACAGTCAATCTTTGATTAAGGCCTTTTTGATTATGGGATTCTCGTTAAGGAAGTGTTCTCATCAACCGCTTTGAATTCCTAAGTCTCACCTAGATCAATATCACAGTTCAGATACTAAGACTACTCCTTGAAATCACTAATAGTACTCAAGATCTACTTTTGATTTTCAAGATTTTTACTGCTTTGCAATACTTGTTTATTCTTCGTTGTTACACTTGACCTTCCTTAATATAAGTTTTATCTTTGTTGGGGTGTATTAAGACTCGATCTTTTAATATCTTGCTTTGGCGTCATCATCCTTCTAGTTTATTGCATCATTAATCTTTCAGAACCTAAAAATGAAAATAATCTAATTAAAGCAAACTTACTTTAGTTCTTTAAATGATCTACATAAACAGATGTCTTGAGTGCTTATTAATCTTTCCTTTATAGAAATTTATTTTGATTTAAAGCACTTGACTTATTTGAGCTCTGAGCTGTTGGCTTTGAGTAGCCTTTTGAAGTACTCGATTTTTTATAAGCAGAATCTGGATTCATATTGAATTGCATACTAGTTATTTTACCACTCTTTGCCCCATTATAGGCTTAAGTTTTCTAAAGATCTTATGAAGTATCTAAATAGTTAGTCTCCTCATCTACCTCATCAATGACAAATGATGCCTCCTATGATCTTCCATGAGTGCTTAAAATATACTCTCTTCTATAAATCTCAGCAGCCAGACCGAAATCTTAATGCTAAGAAAGCTAAAGATTGTTAGGATTATTAATTAATGGAGTAACTATCTAATTATCGATCAAGACATCCTGAATATTCTAAGATATTGAAATTACTTCATAGGAAGATTAAGAATTCTCATTTGAAGGCTAATTATCAATAAGTCTAACAACAGCATTAAGTTCATGAATTTCAGTTGCACTTTGATAGACGGAAGATTATGTTCCAGAATTTTATTAAGGTTATACCTGCTGATTCATTAATCTCTTCCCAAATAGGCTTGCAGCTGATTCAGAATTCCTCATTTTTCTCATATATCTTTTGGTTATTAATTATTCATTGATCTTATCTATTAGAATGCAAATTTTATCTTGAGCTGATTCCTTCTAGTTCAATGTCCTTAAATTTTTGACGTCTTTTATCAATTATTTAATCAAGAAGCTCTTAAAAATCTTTTATCTTATGATCCATCCTTTATAAAGTGCGAGTAAATTCACTTTAAATCGAGATAAAATCCTTAATTTTTTTTAAAGTCTTAGTTTCAATGCACATTTTAACATAAAATTTGAGATTATCTACTTTTGTTAGGCTATTCTAATTTCATTTTCTAGTTAATTAATGTCCTCTAATGTCGAACATATCTTTGAAGGGGAGTAAGAACTTTTCCTAACAACATTTTAAACTGTTGTTCCAGTCTCATTCATGACAGAAGTATCAACTCCAACATCACTAATGATTTTTTAGAGATTTTAAACACTAGTTCTAACTAGATTTTAGATGTTTGCACATTCTTTCAGAAACTATAGCTTATCTCCAGCATTTAATTAATTAAGCCTCCGAGATCTAGACTCACTACGATCTCTTCTTATCAAATCCTTTTTTGCACTTTAAACTTCTTACAAAGGAGCTATTTCATCTATCATACTAGTTTATTTGTTCAATAAAAGTCCATAGCCAGAGCTTAATCTTTTACCATTTAATTAATCTGAAACAGTCTCAAGTAGTCCCTTAGATTAAGAGTTATTCATTGTTTATCCATATTAGTTTTGATCTTACTGTATACTATCATCATGAGATGGTTTCCCGAATATTGTATGCGATTGCTAAATTTAAACTCTAGATAAGCTGTTTTCATTTGTGTGCTTAACATTTGTATTACTCATGCTGTTCCTTGTAGTTGTTCCATATTGATTTTTCATTGAATCCTATAAGATTGATTAAATTTGGGATTATTTACAAGATAATTCTTCATCTTTAATGCTGAATGTTGCCTTGAATTGTTAGCAGACTCTATTGTCATCTATTTGTTTTATTAGAGATTCCCTTCTAATTTACTCTCAATTTAATTATTTGCTTCAATTCCATAGCAGTTTGATTAAGATTATTCTTATTAATTGATTCTTATCTTCGACCTACTTTGATTGTTCTTCTCTTTTTCAGGTTGCATTTTATAACTAGCCTATAGATGTTTACTCATCATTGTCTTCCTATCTCTTATCTTATTCGAAGTGTCTTTATCTTTATTCAAATCCTTACTAGTTAAAATTACAGGCTGAGCCTTTTTACCTTCCATATAAGGGGAAACACCAGTAGACTGAGGGTATTTCAAATTATTGTGATGAATCGGTGATTAGATATTGATTTGATTTGTATTACTAATTCCTGTACTTGCCCCCTTTCCATACTATTAGGCAGCTGATGTGTCATTCTATTTCTACACATTTTGATTTACATTGTTATTGTTATTATTCTCTCATAGTTACTATACTGATGTGGTCTTTTTTATGTTTACAGAGCTCTAATTTTACTATGTCTGCTATTTTATTATCTGAGCCTGGCTTTATTATAATCTTAGATGAGCATTGGAGAGACGAGCTTCCCTTCTCTAGTTTTGTAAGTTAAAATCATTAACAACTTTTGAAGACATTTTGCGAAATATTATTTGGATGTTGTTTTATTTAAACAATTAAATTTAACAGAGTTTTTTATTAGCTATCAATTAAAACAAGACTCTTTATTAATTATTGATATTTAAGATTAATAAGTTAGACTTAGATTTAAAATGAATTGTAAATTGATGTGATTTTACAAAGATAATAGAAGTATTTTTAAAAAGAAAAAGACTGTGACATTATGTGAAAGATTGCTTATTTGATGTTTAATTTATGTTTAAATAAGAATTAGCAAAGAGTATGCATATTCCTAATTAGAGATTAAGTTTGCATCTCAATGCTAATATAATTATTTTCATGGAAATCAGTTGCAGTCTTGAGAGAAGACTCCTACAAATGTGTCTTTGCAATTCTTTTATTTTAAGTGTTATTTCTAAAGTAAGATTATTTATAAAACAATATTACGTAGGAATTTCCAAGATAGTAGAAGCAGATGAAAGGCAATACTAGGAAGAACGAGTGATAGGCCTTTGATCCCATTTCCCAAGGTGATATTTGTGCTGGATCACTATTATAGTTATTTTCAGATTATTATTTACGATTCAGTATTCCAATAATCAGCTCTAGCGTGAAGCCAATGTCTGTAGGGATCTACATGAAAATCTTGATAGTCTCTGAATTCATAGAGTGGATGATGCTTCAAGTAATGGGTCTCTATAAAATATCAATAAATATTGCAATCAGCAGATTATGCAAATAATATAACTTAAGCATTTTGTGAAATACTTACTGATCATATCGTCCTCAGTTGGTGCTGGGTGATCTTCGAATCTGCTTTGATCTACGACTCTTGAGCTCTGATATTCAATAGGTTTGAATCTAGCTGGTGATGCTCCAGTGAGAAGAGAGAAGCTTGAGTTCGCTCTGAGCACTCTTCTGAATTAATTCATTGACATTATTGTTTAATTATTATTTATAAATTCTAATTTCTAAATGTAAAGAATACGCAGGAGGAGCGGGGTTTTGGGGTTTTGGGGTTTTGGGGTTTTGGGGTTTTGGGG